TGGGACGACCTCGTATATATATATATATATATATATATGTTTTGGCGATTAAACAAAAAGAGGAGAGATTCTCTTCACTAAAGAGTCAAAAAAATAAGACCAAAAAATTTGTTTATGTAATGCTGATGTACAATAAAATCATATAGCAAATTTACTTAGCCCATAGAATAATCCCTGTTAATAATTAAATTATTGATTTTAAAAATCTCTTATTAATTATTTGTTGAATTATTTAAACAAATTTTATTTAATGATTTTCAATTTAATACTTTCCAAATTATAACATTATGATGAAAATTTAAACTATGTGATGATATGATACCTTCCACAAATAGTATTTTTACTGCTAACAGGAGGATTCTTCAATTCTTGTTTCAATTTTTCGTTTAATTTCTGTTCTTGGAGTGAAGCAACTGCAGCTTTAAAATCACGCATTTCTTTTTCTTCTTCAAGATTTTTTTTACGTTCTTCTTCCATTTTGGTTCTATCAACCAAATCTAAAAATTCTACTTCATCATCATCCAATCCTTTGATCATATTCCCTAAAAAAACGAGAGTTATTATTCAAATACATGATTTTAGATCATAAAAATTGATCTCAAAACATGAGATATAATGATTTATAGATAACTGCTTAATCATATTATTTATAAAATAATACAATATTATTATAGATTATATATAATAACTATTAGATACTTAAGATTGGATACTTTAGAAAAAACAAAGAAAAAATATTACAATTCAATAGTTTATATCTTCAATACTAATTAGGATAAATCAGCTTGCAATCTTAAAAGCTTAAACATATATTGGATGCATTATAGTTATTAATAAAAATCAATTTTATTGTGCAACTTACTTAACTTATGAGCTTCTTCATATTCCAAGTCTCTTTTAGTTTTCTGTTCCTGTAATCTTTCATATAATGATCTAGGATCATAAGAGTCTTCTGGAGCTTCTGTAACCATTACACAAATATGAAATATTTTTCATAAATATTCATAGTCATTGAATTCAATTATTGAATGATCATTATATACAGCCATCACGGCTACATATAATTTGCGACTATGTATAATTAAAAAATAATTATGTTGCTGTATAAAATATGAACCTAACCTAAAGGTTGATCAGCAGTTCGTACACGTTCCCATTCCTCTTGTCGCATCCGCCGTTGTTCGGCAATTTCAGCTTCTGATATAAATCCTGAACTCATTTTCACTATTTATAAACACTGTTCTATGAAGGACAATCTGTGAACACAATATAACTTGTTTTTTATACACCTTGATGGAAAGATAACACTATTGACACTTTACTGAAGGATTTAAAATTCGTCGTATAGTCGAAGCACTTTTATTACAATTAATAATTTCAAATACTATTCAAAATTGATTAAGATTGCTATAAAATATTGCAGAATAGAAAGAGAAACATATTTTCTCTGGATGAATAATGTTGTTAGAAACAAGGCATTTCTCAACCTATAGAGAATTTATGGCGGATTTAAACGGCGTCGACATGAAATATCGATATCCAATAGAAATACTTGTTTTTTAGATTTATTCAGTATTATGCAGTTATGTAGATTTATCTAAATTATTTTGAAAACAAGCATTTCTAAAGTGCAAGACAAATAAAATTAAACATTAAATTATTGTAAATTAAAAGTATAAGATATGCGATTTTTTAATGCGGAACAACCAACTGAACAGACCTAATTACTGCAATATGATTGGTTCGCTACTTCGATTACTCGTCGCTTCGAGAATCGCAATATCGTCTATTCCGTGCGGCCATTTTGTAACGCGTCCCGGAGTCGTGCAGTCGCGTTCACAACTCGCTCCGTACTTTTTACAGTTATTATTGCTTAAAAAGAATATTACATAAAAATATTATTACAAATCTCTCTTGGGAAGTCTCAAACATTTGTGTTGTGTTAAATATTATGTATAATCGCTACTATGGCGATTTCGGCTGCGCCTGTGTACTTGTAGTTGCTCGAAATCCTTGCATGTCTCGCGCATCGAAGGTGCAACGACTGCATGATTATTGCCTGGTATGTATACATATTTTTATTCGTAGACACTGTTACTTATATATGCTTCTTGTAATAATTTATTATTTTAACTATTTGCAAAATTTTCTAAAATATTTGAAATTCTTACAACGATTACTATGAAGTTTCCTGCGTTGACTGTTTTGGCGCTTCGAGAATCGCAATTACATTCTTCGATATATCTCGAAGTGCGGCAAGTTTAATTACGCTATTCTGCTACGATGAATAGCGTCGTTTTCGAATCATATACCTTTTATGATTGTTATTATTTAAAGGTGAATATCATGTATCAAGAAAAAATATCACAAATATTTTATGCAAAATGTCAAACGCCTAATACGTAACAAAAGACGTATTAAACATCATGTATAATCATTATTAACGTCAATATCATAATACATAATACGTCGATTTCAGCATCAGTTTTTAACTATCCAACATGGAACGCAGTCTTCCTCGCATATTTCAAGTTGCTTTCTCGCCAAAGTGCAGCAAAAATACGGTTAATACACAAGTATTATCAGGTATGTGCTTTATCAGGTATGTGCATCATTCTGTAATTAGCTATATTGATTATATTTTCTTTAATACTTTAAGAACGATAAAGCGAAAATCGCCAATTTATTATTTGCAATATTTTATATCAATAAAATACTATTAAAAAATCATAATTATAATATTACTAAATATACATATATTTATTAAAATCATAATTATGATATTAATATATACATATATACATATATTTAATTCGATAAAGAGCAAAATATGCCAATGGCAATTGTTAGACCATGTCAGAAATGACATAAAACTCAATAAGAATTTTTGAGGAATTTCATGATCAGCAGTGATTACCAGTATTTGATAATTCCATTACTAATATTAAGTTTTTTATATATATTGAATACTTATATTGAATACTTTGAGGTAGACTATGTATTAGCCATATATATTTTCACAATTTTTTAAGAAAAAGGAGCAATCGTTTTATAATAACAGTTTATTAAATATTTCCAAATATTTTTTATAAAACAATACAAATCTTAACGTGAGATACATAAAAGGAAAATATGATCTGGATATAACTAATGAACTTATAAAATAATTACATAATTAAAAACATTGTATTACAAGAAAAAATTACTGTAGTTCATAAAATTGGAGAAATTGAAAATTGTCAAGTATAATAAACTTTAATAAAATTTATAAATTTATAAAATAGAAATGGAAAAATACTTATTTTAATTTTTATTTAATTTAATTTAATTTAATTTAATCTAATTTAATTTAATTTAATTTAGTTGCATCCAGATCATAAGATTATTTTGTGTATATTTACTCGATTCTACCACCCATCTGTCATCATATTATTTTGATGACATTTGTCAATTGCCAAACTGGCTGTAAACTCTGCAGACAAAATATAAGCTTAGTGCTAAAGCATTTGTCAACCTGCTGAAATGCATTAGTGCAATGTACCGTTTAACTGCTGGAATATTATCATCACTTTGCAGCCTAAGTAAATGAGGCTTTTCAGATTTATTTATAGTAAGAACAATCTCTATATAACGTTAAATTCAGTGTCAAACATTTAACAGTTAATTGTCCAGCAATGTATATATGTACACGCATTTATATGGAATCGAACGATTGAGAATGTTAATGTCCTAGTTTACACTTTTCTAATAAATTAGAATTTTACTTTTCCTTGTTGAATTTGATCGTAAACCTCTGATGTTAATAGTTGATAACCAAGTTTTGCATCTAAATAATATAATTTGTCTTGAATTTTATTCGAATTGTATCCTTCCTCTTGGAGATCCTTTTTCTTCAACTTAAATGTTCCTATAAGCAATGAATAAATATTTAGCGATTATTCTAAATATATTTAACACATTAACAACTTTATTTCATATATTTCGCAATTACATAAAGCAAAAATGCACACATTTTATGAGTTTAGTTTTCTTACGAGTTTCTTATATATTTTTATTATTAGTAATCTTATCAATTAAATTTTCTATAACCTATAAATCAGCATGATTTTTTATGTAATATGATTTCTTTTAAATACAATAACATTATACATATTTTATGTATGTTATTGTATAAATAAACATACCTGTGAGATCAATTTTCGTCAAAATCCTGACAAATTGTGGCCTGGCATAAGTGGGTAATTGTTCTTTGATGTCAATTGTTAATTTATCTATATCCAATGTTCCATTTTCATCATAAATTGCAGCCATTCCTGCTCTGCCTTCATTACCTCGAATCTATTCATTATCATCAATGTTTTATAATGTTACAAAAATTATTAGAAAAGCAAGAAAAAAATTATTATTACTTCAACGCCGTATATAATGCAATCTCGGTAGTTGATAATATTACTAATTATCGCCTCAACTTCAGAAGTCGATACATTTTCGCCCTTCCATCTAAACGTGTCTCCCGTTCTATCTTTGAAGTACAAATATCCCAGTGCGTCGGCAACAAGAATGTCCCCTAAATAATTATACTAAAGTTTATAAAATAGTATATTTCAATTTTAAGAAATATAGCTTTGTATCATAAATAGATACAATTTAGCAGTCAATGTATTAAGTATTATACGTATATAAAGAGAGCTCTTAGATCAAGTTACTAAAATTATGTAAAATTTGTTGCATACCTGATAAAAAGGCAGAGTCTCCTTTTGTGAAAACATCATAAACTACCTTTTTCTCAGACGCCTTTTCATCCACGTATCCTAAGAATGCTCTTACCGGATTGTTCGGTTTAATCTTTCCAATAAATACGCCGGGTTCGTCTATTGAATAAAAGATTTGATTTAAACTGAAGATTGTCATAGGTTGTAGAATACAGAGAAATTTAATTGGGAATTAATACCAATTAATAAACTTGCTCATTTAGAAATCATTATCTTATTCTAATTAAATTCTTATATATAACAATAGTTACTATAAAATTTTAGTTATTCAAACAAAGTTAGATTAGATACATTTTTTCACATATTAATTACTGATATCTTAAATACTGATATCAACTTACCTGGTTCACAGACTTGACATAGTCCTTTAGAGTTACGTATAGGTTCTCCTTCCTCGTTTACTTTGATAATAGATATAGGATAGACTGACGGGATAATTCTTGAAATAAAACCTATTGCCCCCGTCTTGTTGTCAATATTAACTGAAAAGAATATGCTTTAATAAATATATCCACTAACATTAGTACGTTCTTTCTTTTGAAATAAAATTTCCTCGGTAGAAATAATTTCAATGCTGAGACATTAGCTTATGCAATTAGCAAAAAAAATGCTATGCTATATGTTTGTAGAGAAATCTCAACATATTAAAAATTAAAAATTAAAATATTTTTTTATACTTACTAATGTTAGCATTGCCTTCGGTCGCGCCATAAAACTCGAGCACCTTTGGAATATTGAATCGGTTTACATATTCAGTCCATATCTGCGGCCTCAGCCCGTTGCCAAAAATCATCCTAACGTTGTGTTCCTTGTCCTCCTTTTTAGGTGGTACTGCCAGAATATAACGACACATTTCTCCTATCTATTGACCAACCTGATATTTTCCAAAAGTTTATCGAAGATATAATTGTGATGCTCATGCGATCTTAAGAGTCTAGGCAGAATAATGCAATCTATTTCATGAAGCAAAAGCATAGGAAATGCGAATTATACATACATTACAGTATAAAAAGTGAATAAGCAATTCAAATACGAAGAACAGGATAAATTATATTCGAACATTTAAAATGATGTAATCAGTTATCTAGTAGATATGTAACAAATCAAGAATTACACTCACAGTGCATTTGTATTTCATGCAATCACTGAAGTACGCGCTAGCTGAGAATTTTTTCCTTATCACTGTTGTGTGTCCGTATAAGATGGCTTGTCCCACAGCCATTACTCCACCAGCAGTATGATATAGCGGCAATGGTGTATATAATCTATCAAAATTACGTAACACCCCCATAAAGTGCACAGCGCACGCAATAAAAATATATCTGAAAAAATACGATACAATTTTTTATATTAATTAAACATTAACATTTATTTCTCGAACGTTAACATAGCTCCAGAGTTTTGATATAAATTAGTATAATTTTAATTTTTTCTCAAAAAGTCTATAGTTCTCAATATGTGTTTCATAAAGAGTTCTAGCATTTAAATGAGTTCAAAAATAATTAAATTAAATTAAAAAGAGTTCAAAAATATTGAACGCCAATTTTATATTATATTTATAATATATTTATGTTTTTATTACTAAAAAAATGTAATAAATTTTTTATTTTAATCAGGGACCTTGTTTTGCACATTTAATTGTCAAGATATTTTTTTGCATCACACAAAAACTCTGTAGCTCTTTGGGAAACCAGAAAAACCAGAAAAACCAGAACTTATAGATAGCATATTTACTACCTTGAATTAGTAATTACAGCTGCTTTAGGAAGTCCTGTAGTGCCACTAGTATAAATATAAAGTACTTTGTCATTGTAACCACCCTTCTCTTGTAACACTGGTGGTGTTGCAGACGTATCTGCCAAGAGAGCATTCAAATCCTTTTCTTTCAATCCGATTGACATAGCATTCGGGTGACTTCCAAATCTGTACAATGCTAATTTAGCATCCAGAGATGAGACAATGTCCGTCACAGCTAAAAATAAGAGTTTTAGAAATATTTGATTATCCCATCTTAAAAAAGGCATATCGATACTCGCGCATTTATTGTTGCCGTTTTTCCGCGACTATCATTACTTCGTGCTATTGAGCGATTATCATTGCAAAAATTGTATATATCAATAGTTCACATTTTGAGAGAGTTAGTGCAGGGGCGAATTTAGGCATGGGCTGAATGGGCTATAGCCCGGGGCGGCAAAATTTAGGGGCAACAGATTCGTCGCAGAAAAAAATGTGCGATTCCAGAAAAAAAAATAAAAAAAAGGTTATCAGATTTGAAAAAGTGCAATGGGGGGGGGACTGAAATGTAACATATGTTATGTAAAAAAATGTAATACAGGCTGTTAATATTAAATTGTAAGGGGCAATTACGCTTGAAACATTCTTTATTTCACATGAGACATAAATACATAAAATAAAAATTATAAAACAAAAACTTTGCAACCGAGACGGCAAAAAGATAAATCCACCCCTGGATTAGTGCAGATATTTTTTAAAATTATTGTTGTGTTTTATAGAAAATATTTAAAGTGTCTTTTTAGATAGAATTATAATATATATTTTTTTGTAATTAAAAGAATAAATAGCACGCGTGTGCTTGTGTGTATCTAGTTAAAATAAAAGTAACTATTTGTTTCTATTGAATTTTTACTGAGAGAAATTAATTTTATATTTAGAGTTCCAAAATTTTTAGTAACGTAACAATTAATATATACAAGATTGTTATTATTTAACAATAATTATCATAATGTGGTAATAGCTACTATATTATTTATATTATTCTTACCATCAAAAAACTCCGCACCGTATATAAGCGCCTGGCAGTTTGCAATACTGATACTATGTAGAAGAGTGGTTTTTCGAAGATTCGTGTTAATTAAAGGTGTTATTACGCCGAGCTTACTCAAGCCTAACCAAATCGCAACAAATTCAGGCCGATTTTCCAAAAGTAAAGCAATCGCATCTCCTTTCTTGTACCCGTGCGATTTAAATATCGTCGCAATTTTATTACTAAAGTCTTCCACCTATGAAAAATTAAGAGAATTAAATTGCTATATAAATGATATAATTATAAATACATAATATATAAGAAAAAATTGATCGAAGAATCAATTTTTTTATATTTGAAATACCTTTAAATTGGTCGGAGAATTTCTCATTGACGTAAAATTCGTGAATTATAAGATGCTTTATACGTAACGAAATAAAAATTTTAAAGATTTGCATATCAGACATATTTAGAAATATAAAATTGATTACAAAATTACAAGCAATTTTTATTGAAGAAAATGCTATAAAAAATTAATTTGCATCATTAAATTTACAAATTTTAGGCTTATATAAAGTATCGATTTCAAGTCATTATTTGCATGTATTCAAATATATATAAAATGTCACACATTTAAAACGTTTTTACTTAAAAAAAAAAAGAAATTTAAAAAGCATCTGTAAAGACAGATATTACCTGTTGGTAGGTCCATTCCTGGTCTTCAAATATTAAACAGGCTTTATTAGGATGACGATTAACGTATTGTCGAAATATGTCGGCCACGCCTCTATCTTTCTTTTCGTGTCCATGAATTTCCCATAGCATTCTAATATATCCTATAAGTCCTCTGAAATTAAAGATTCAAAAAAGACGTTCAAGAAAAGCAACTTTTAAAATAAACTATGATCGAAAGAAGATACATTTTTGTCATGTCATCAATGGTTGACTATGTAACCTGCATTAAGAATTGCTTTTAACGCTTATTTAACGTTATTTAAAGAGAAAAAGTGACAATTATTAAAAGTTTATTAATTATTCTATATAAAATTTTTTTTAATGTAAAATGTAAACATTATATCACATAAATCTTAAATAATCAATGCCTAAATTATCTTATTTAATACATTATTTTATACACATTATTTTATATTTTAATTTGAAAAAAAACTTCAATAAATAAATCTCTCAAACGCACACAATCATTTAGGATGCACAATTGTGCCGATCAGCCAACCAAGAAATTCCGTTATTCCGTCGAGGTCAAGAAGAGAAGATGTTACATTCACTCAGCAGCAGCGCGGAAGAAAAGCAAAATAAATATAGCAGAATGGCAAAAATGTATATATATAATTGCGCGCTATGAAAAAAAAATTTTTAACTTTTTTTATTCTTCAAAATAATTACGTCAAACTTCTTTGAATTCTTCACTTTATTCCATACAAATAGATTCATTTCCTTGATTGTATGTAAATTTTCCATGAAGACATCAAATTGATTTATTTTCTCAATAGCGATGCGAATCATTCAAGGATCTAACTAGTTTAAATGCAATAGATTTTTTTCCGATTTTTTATGTTTGTATTTTGTGTCATGAAATACAATAGAATATCGTTGTCTCTAGTCATGGCCTAGATTTTGATTACGGTCATGGTCACAACCATGACCACGGCTACATGTTCTCGGTCATGGTCACAATCACGATTATAAATACACTCGTGACAAAAAAAAAATTACTTTGTAAAAAACCACTCGAAAGAAGTAAACAGTTAAAGATGCGCAGAAAGCATATGTCCCTATTGATATATCTGCTTTTACTGTATACACCAAAGTGAGACAAAAACTCACTAAATATCAATTTTTATTTTTATACTATAATTTTTCTAGATATCTTTTTTCTTTGTTCAAGCAATTTTTCGGGTTTGATATTAGAAATTTGCGAAAGAACTTTATACAAACATTTTATAATTGCTAATAAAATAATTTAATAGAAAAAAAGACATCCCAATTTTTTTTAACCTTGTTAAAAATTACTGATCGACACAATTGTGCATTCCAAATGATTGTGCGCGTTTGAGAGATTTATTTATTGAAGTTTTTTTTAAATTATAAAATATAAAATAATGTGTATAAAATAATGCAAATAAAATAATTTGGGCACTGATCATTTAAGATTTATATGATATAGTTTTCACATGTTACATTTAAAAAAAAATTTTTTTATACAGAATAATTAATAAATTTTTAATAATTGTGTCACTTTTTCTCTTTAAATAACGTTAAATAGGTGTTCGAAGCGATCCTTAAAATTCTTATAAATCTTGTTAAAAATAAAACAAATGCAAAATATCTGTTGCACGAAATAGCAAATAGCAGAAAATATAACTATGATGAAAATATCAATGGTATAAATCATCTTGTCGCAAGTGAAAAAAATTCTAGAATGCGAAAAAGAAACAATGTTCGCTAATATTTCGGAACTATTCCAGAGACTAAGATTTTTTTAACTTATAACTCTGTACTAATTATAAAGTGAAAGCTAAAAAAATTATATAACTACAGTACAGTTACTCTTGATGGAATATATGTTATGTACGCACACACATGGAACCCTTGATACTCGCGTCAATCTCAAAGTACAGTTGATTTTATACTATGTAAATAAATTTTATGATTGTATTAAATTCGAGAAAGAAATTACACAACATTGTACACATTCAATTATCGAGAGTTATGCAACTTAAAGCACACAAGCATGCTACATCAGAAGATCTCCATTTTCTTTGAGCCTGTTTTCATGATAAAGAAAAGAGAAGTGAACAGATAAAAATTATATTCCGCTAAAATTCGTTATCAATTTTAGTAAATTTTACTTAATCTTCTTAACTTTTTAATTTACTTGTCCCTGATTTTATCTTTCAACATATCCTGTATAACTCAATTTCCGGTGAAAGTGCTGTGCGACTGCATCTTTCACGCGCGTCTCGTATTCACGTGTTTGCTAGATGACATCGTTTATCATCAATGAGCAAATAAAAAAAATTCACGGTGAATTTGAAATTCAAGATTAATTTCTAAAATTTAAGATTTATGCTCACATGGTAAAAAATTCTGAAAATATTCGCGTCTTTTCACGAGATTTACTTATTCAAATTTACTTTTCATTAATAAACACACTTTTTTAAATAGAATTTATATACGAGAATTAGTTTTTATATAATGAATGCAAATACTTTGTACGAGCAATTTTTTTTCGTATACAAACACTTCAGCACTTCAACAAATTTATAAGTAATACAATATATAAGTAAAACAAAAAATATAGTCCAGCCCTTAATTTCTTCGGATTCTATTGTTTAATGTTTTGAATTCTATTATTCGTGCGTAAAATGCTAATGCTGTGGAAAAAAAATTTCTTTTTATTACACAAATTAAATAATTCGCAGAGAATAAATAAAAAATAAAAGACAAAGAAATAACTTCGTTTACTCATATTGTTTGTTCAAAACATACGCACTCACGTCAAGTCTCGACTTCGTATTCAAATGAAACAATCGTTTCCATCCGGTTGGATTGCATATATTGATGATCGGCAATTGTTAGCAATATCCGAAGAATTAAATCATTTTTTTGATTGTCATTCATTCTTGTGACGATTGTCGATTTTACGCAATTAAGTTTTTTTTTGTCTTTTTTGCAATAAAAAATATAAATATAATATACGAAAAATTTAACTAAATTTTTTTACTTGATGCACAGTCAAAAAAGTTTTTAACACTTCTAACATTTGTTCTATTCCTCGTTCGTTACATGCGCTACGACAAACATATAATTAAATTTGTAATATTTTCCTTAAAATGTAGAAGCCTTGAGAATTATTTTCTATTTTACATCCGATCAAAATAATCAAGTCAACATGGTTCAATTTCCACTAACGAATGAATTTTCGAAAACTTTAAAATAAATACTATTGACTTATTACTTTTTCATGCAGCATATCTAACAATCTATTAACATTATATGTTTAATATGTATGTAAAATTGCATATGTTTAAATATTATTATACCAAAGAAGGCCTAATGACAGGTTGAACCTTTTGTTTACTGCAATACATAGTATTACACAAACAATTAACATTGACTCTTTTTGCACCTTTACATTTTCAATTTAATCAATTTTCTTGCCGATGTAGAAACCGGTTTAGACGTCGTCATAATTTAATTCATAAATATGTTTACCGTAACATTAGCACTTGACGCATGAACAGAATTCAAAATATTAAACAATAGAATTCGAAAAAATTAAGGACTAGACGATGTATTTACGTAAAATGTTTAAAAATTATTAAAGAAATAATGAAAAGAAACCATTTCTTTGTCATTTGTTAAATAAGTTAAATGAATAAATGACAAAGAATGAAAAAATAAAAGACTACCATATTCAGCATGGTCACTAATTTTAGCAATACATCTGAATTCTGATGAGCAGTATGCATCACTGCATAATTACACCGCATTAAATACGTCATCAATATATTTCCCGCAATTATATGATCTATGATTCAGCTATTTTTGCCTTTTAATTGCGAAAACATCACATGCTTCGCTTAATAAGAAAATAAAAGGTTATCTTTCTTATAATCAAACTAATAAAATAACTAAAAGTTGATCCAGGCAAAGTTCCAATCTTTTAATTAATTCTGCTAATCTATAACGTAACAAGATACACGTCGGAAATAATATAAGATATAAAGAAAACTTTCACTCACTTGACATCACGTGGCAATGTTTTAAGGGCGACGTAGAACCATCTTAATCGGCCACCAGAGACGAAATAGGCCACGGAAATCACTATGAGTAGCTGCACAAGATAAATCGGACCCATGTAGATCACTACGAGCGTCAGAGCAGCTGCAACAGCTGCCAGCAACAGCATGATGATTGTTAAGCGTCCCAGAAAACAACCGATTGCCTTCCAGCGACTTTTACAAGCAGAATCTCTCTCCCGCCTCATCGTCGGTCCCGCGTTTGCGCCAGCACGTGTACTCTGGCCGTGCCGCGTACCTGGTTCCCGCACATTCACTCCATGCCCCACTCCGGCTGTTGCTCCCGCGTCGTATCTGTTAGATGCCGATTCGCGTGGCGATGCCGGCGCCGATGCCAACGCCGTCCCCGGCGTCGGCGTCGACGCCGACGTTGACGCCGGCCGCGAGTTAGCCGACGATACTGCTACCGCGAAACGACTCTCGCCACGCTCGATGTCCTGTAATGAAAGTGTGCACGAATCTTTGAAGACAAAATTCTCCGAAAGAAGTGATAACATTTTCTTCAATGTTCTTAGATTTCTTAAAAGCAGGGAATCAAACGAGATGTTTATGCCGGGAACATACTTGAAAATATCTTAATGTATCATTATCGTGACCTATCAAGAGATTGTATATCCTGTCACTATCGTGACCTATCATGAGATGTAATAAACTTTGAACTTGTTTAATAGTGCAACATTGATAACTAGGCCGATATTCTAGTAAGAAAGCTTATTATTAGCAAGCTACAATTATTTTCTTATAAACTTTTAATATATTAATCTATTATTTACTCGTTTTTCTGCAAAGACACCAAATATATTTTTAAACATCTTTAACAGAGTTAATTACATAAAATTAGATAAAACTTTTGTTCAATTGTTTACTTAATGCGACACATGTTAGGTTGATGAAAAATTTTTATATGCCTTCGTAGTAACAGCTCGTAAAGTGTTCCGATATCTCTTTATATCTTATAAGTGATCAATCAGATTGAAAGAAATTCAAGGATTGGATCGAAAGATTTTTTCGTTTTTCTTTCGTTGACTGAATCTTTTTAACTCTCAATTTATTCCATGTTTTTTACGTCCAATTTACGCTATGTCTCTCATCAAGGTTTTCCAGTCACTTGCTGACTGGAGCAAGCTACAAGATTTCTAGCTTAGTTGACTACTTTCTAATAATTTAGTTTCTCTTGCTGCACAATTTTAACTGTATGACCTAGTCAAGATAAAATACTTCAACTGCAATGTGTTAATTGCTAGTTCTATTACTTGCTACTTTTTCTGCAAATATCTTTTAAATTTAAAAAATTTTGTTACATTTCTATTGCAATATTTTTATACAAGGTTCATAAAATAAAATTCAACAGATACATCTGTCAGTTATATAGTTAAGAATGTTTCTATATTTATAAAAGTTTGCGATATGTGTGATTTATATACACAAATACGACATATTTATAGCATAGTGTATATACATAATTATGTATATCAAAATTTTAACTAATTGTTGCAGCTTGTTTACTAAATTATAATATAAAAATTATTTAATGTAGTCATTGAATAATAATGTAAAGTAGTCATTATACAATGACATTATTTTTTTATGTTATAATTTAATTAATCTGTCATTAATTACGTTTGAAGAATTGCTTTTTTTGCTAGCTCTTTAACAAGTTTGAATTGTAGTAAAAAAGCTTTACACGAACGCTACTTTAGAAAACTATATATACAAAATATATATGTATTTTATAAATACTGAATATTGATTAAATTTTCTATTTTTCAGATATTTATTTAAAATCTTGATAATTAAATCACGAATTAAAGTTTTATTGCTGCAAATCTTGTATTAAACATATAATTCAATATATATTTTTTTATATTTTGATTTACATTTTATCATTGTACAATTTCATATTAAAAGAAGTATGTAGCGTTATCTGGTGTTACACGTTAAAAGCAATGATTGCGTGACTATTCGATGCGTTTCTTGCTCTCAATAAGATTGTACACTCTGTGTTATTGATGCTCTCCACTTCCGGTTCAGGCATTTCCGGGTTGAACGCATCATACGTGGGCACTCGTGCATCGTGTGTATACTTACAAAGATAGGACTGTGTTTCCACGCGATATGTGTTTTAAATGGCGCTAATACACATTTTTGCAAAAGTCTTTTAAACCGCGTGCTTGTCACGTGTATAATGCTCTATGTTTGTGTTGCCACCCTCGGCACTTTATGATCAGGTTATTCAATGACTAACATCTCTCTATCGGCACCGATGTATTGTATAAGCATCTAACTAAGCCTATAACTTGAAGATTTTACGTAAATCACGGGTCAGCTTGTGGTAAATTTCACCAAGCGATAGGCTTCCGTAGTCTCTACTATGATCAATAACACGACAATGCTGCTACCTTGTGGTAAAAGACGGCATCTTCTTAATAACAATCATCGACTACTGGCCTAATTTCATATGCGGGCGCAAATTTTTTTTTAGTATGCGTAGAATATTGATATCCCATATACAAGACGCGAAAAAATTAGATTAAAGTTGGAAGGAAAAGCTATATTTAATATTTGATTGTATAACTCATCATTTTTTTGCTCTTCAATCAATTTTTTTCAATCAAATTATATTTTAAAATCAAGTACATATAAATCGAATTATTTTTTATTAATTTTCTTTTATTAAATTTTCTTGACAAATCATCAGCAAATAAAATATTATCAGATAAAAGGCAATAAATATAATATTGTAAAATGATAGATGATAATATGTAATATGTTATATATGTTTATTTAAAAGCGTTTTATTTCTCATTGTCAGACTACCTGAGAAATACTTATCGTATGCAGGGTCGCGACCTATGATTGCGTATACCTCGCACGAATGTACGTTCGATTTCAGTCGTGATTCAGCTTAAAGCAAATCATTCACAATAGACTAGATATAATAAAAGAATAAAGTACACCAATTTACGATTATAAACTGTTATGACATAATGTAATGAAAAAAATGATGTGTAATTTCTTGCTAATCTCTGTTTCTGTTTGTTCTGCAATGCACTTTGTTTTCGTTTATGGCACAACTCTTACCAAACTCGCGTAATAGGTATATAATTATTCGCGTTACTTGAAGTTTGCAAGAAATGAGGGCAAATTAGCATTAATGCTAATTTGTACTTATTTCTCTCACCAATTTTAAGTCATATGTATTAATTTCTATTACATTTTAAACTGAACCAAATTTATTTTATACTAAAATTCTCATTATGAATGCTTATTAATCATCTGTATCTAATATTACTGATATCGAGAAAAAAAATTGAACCTTCTAACTTCTAAAGAAAAAAAGATGGAATATTTACTTGTGACATAATAACTGAATTATTTATAAATATTAAAAAATCTGTTCAGCAAAAAATTTTATAAATAAAAAAAATGCTAAATAATCTTGTGATAAACGCATATTTCAATACACGCATTGGAAGAATCGAATAGTACACAAAATAAGAACAATTCTTTTACATACAACCGAATTAAATCAGTTATAAAAAGAAAGGAAAGAGCGCTAAATTATAAAACAAAAATTATATAATAATTTTATACAATTTTTATCATTTTTGCAACTTTATATACGTAATTTTTACAAAAGTCGATGTAAGCAATTTTGCAGAAAGAAATGCATTCAAGGAGAAGTGCAATTTTATTATAGGCATACTTACGCAATCTTTGTCGCCCATTTGTGTGACGTTTATTCCATTATTGTTAACTGACATCTTTGATATAGTATCTGCCATTTTTAATCCTTTAAAAAAACTACACAGCCCGAATATGATATATGCAATGAGACACAACTTGCCGTATATTAACGTTAATATATATTTTTTTATGATTTGCTGTTTCGAAAATTAATTGATTTCACTGACGCGAATTATATGGAGTGTAATGTAATAATGTAAGTTAAAGGATTATAAGTTATGATTGTTGAAAAAGAATTATTATGTGAGTTTTGCAACTTTCCACGCTTTATAAATATAATTTCTGTTATTTAACGTAATATGCAATTACATCGATGCGATTAATAAGCTACATATATTTTTTTGTGTACATAATTTATAAATTTATCAAATAAATAATTAAAACGTGATATCTTGAACTTAAAAAATGCGGCAAAAACATAAATAACTTGAATTGTAATGATCTTATATGTAAGATCATTTTATTGCTATATTATTTAATAAAAGACATTAACAATTAACTATTAATTTAGCAATCAAAATCTTATTAAACGCAAATAAATTTTATTGCAAAAAAAGCTAAAATAGTTGACTGGAATAGACTTAATTAGAGTAAAGTAAATACGTAATTTTTTAAAATGATCATTTTTTTTTTTGCATTAATATTTTTATGTACTACAATCGCAAAACTCACATTTTATAAATGCACGTTGTACATATACACACCGAATAATTTTGCAAAGCACCAAATTCCACGCCGCGTTTATTCTCTCGCGTTCACAGTTCGGCGAGAAGTAAGAGAAAATTCCGTAAAGGAACGTAAGCTCCCGTGCAGTGAATGGAACAAGCGTACTCTATGCATCCACTGACTATGATTCAATTCCTGTTAGTGCGCGGACTAAAATGAAATAGCAACAGCAAGTCGCTGAGGCTTGGACATGAAAGCGGCCTCCCTCCTTTTATTTCATGTGCATGTGTACCGGTTCGCGGACATCTTCCGCTTCTCCACCACGGCTTTTGCTTTATTTCGAGAAAGAGAAAAAGAGAGAGATTATAATCTATGCCTGATGTATCTTATACGAAAACATACAATAAGAATGCGCGCTGTTGATACATGACCTCTTTTCGTAATAATAACTTGGTCTCATCCTGCGCGCGCACATTCACATACACATAAGAGAAAGAGGAAGAGAAATTAATACTAGAAACTAGAATCTAAATTTTCGTGATGCCATTGGATAGTCAGACAATTTCTTATATGCGTAGCAGCTTCATCTTGACGACAAGTGATAAATTATGTACATTTTATCCTCGAAGGCATCGAAACCATTACATATATAATTGCCCAAATAACAATTCTTGCGCGCAAAGTTTGCGCGTCTTATGCAAATAATTTGTGTAGCAATTTGCCTGAATTTTGCTCGTGGGATATGTTTAGTCGTGTATAAGTCGTGTATTGCTCGCAAAGTGCAAGCGTTTTGCAAGTGTGCTAGCATTTTGTTACCGCTATGACAACGCACTGGGATAAGATTTTGTGTGCGCAGTATGAGCCATTTTTGTACGTGAGTTGCTAGATATTTATGGGCATAATGTTTTCTGGGTGTTCCTTATTTTTAATATTATTCAATATTTCAATATTTAAATGACTAGAAGTTTTGATGACTGTTATTTTATCATATATTTATTCATTTATAAATTTGCATAATATCTCAATTTAGACAAGAGCATTCGTTATTATGTCACGTTGTTTCAATATGCATGATAATCTAGACTTTGTCGCAAAGTCATGCACTCAACCTCATCAATTTTCAAAGTGTTTGTCTTCACATTGATGTCCTCCTCAAGTTGAATCTGTGTCTTGAGCAAATAACGTAGTTGCGTTTCTGCCTGTAATGTTTTCGATAAAAATTTGGTTCAAAATTTATCAAACAAATAACATGAATAAACTTATCATTTATTATAAATAGCTCAATGATGAAAAGTAAGATTGAGAACAAATAAGCTAATTTTATCTCGATGAGAAAGAATAGAAGTTAAAAATTGTGCAAAATTACAATGTACTGCTACGAACCTCACAAAGCGTTTGTTGCAGATTTGCTACGATATTTCGTAATTCACGTATTTCTTTTACAAGATTAGCTTCAACTGGATCTTGAGTAGCTTCTGTTTCTGGACGTTGACATCGATATTCTAATCTTGTATGAGCCAGGGCCATGTATCCCTCTTTATCAGCTATAGATTTTTTGATAAGCGTAATATTGCTTGACATAGCGGTAATTTGTTTCACTATCTATGAAAAAATAATATAAGAATTTGAAAATATAATAGTAAAATGACAAATTACACTTTTTTGGAAAATTTATAAGTTTTAGAACAAAATTTTTATGTGCATTGCGTTAAAAAAAGAATTTACTTTTGCTTTGACTGTTCGAATTATTTTCCACTAAAAATTAATCTGAGAAATTTTTTTCAAATTTTTGTTAAATAAGAAATATATAAATTTATTATTTTATAAATGTGAAACATTAATTCATTAATTTCCGAGATTTGAAAATTATTCCTATTTTTTTACGTACCTCCGAGTGTTGAAATTCCAATTTGGCTTTAGCTTCCTGAGTCTGTTCGATACGTTGTCTGAAAACTCCGTTCGTGACATCCTTTTGTCTATTCAGATCGTCAATTGTTTGCTTGATTATTGTATCGATAAAAGAGCGTAATCGTTTTGCATCGTTTACTTCTTTATTTGCACTAACAACATTGTTGTTTGTTTGCAGCTCCCACTCGTTTAATTTGATTACTCTACATCAATGCAAAGTTTTTTTTATTTCTAATTTAAATATCATTGTATGTGTGCACAGTTATCTATACTGTATTTTACTGACACTTTTTATTACAGATATAGATAAAATTTAAATCGATAGTGCAGATGTGGTGGCAGCAGTGGTGCAGATAAACCAATTAAGTAATATTTCCTGTTAATATCTCCATTTTCTCGTAACATTTCATTAATCTATTAATATCTTTGTAAGCAACGGTGTATATGAGAAAAAAATAGTGAAACAAATAACACTTTACGTTATGAACAAAGTTACATACGATTTATCAAGACACGAAGTGCTGTAGCTGGTATTCAAATCGAAATCAGTCTCCTTCAAAACTATATTACGACGATCAATATATAAATTGCACTCCTTATTTTCAAGATCGCGGTCGATATGATACAATGTGGCCTTCAATTTACGGATTTGTTCACAAATTTCCCCTAAAATTCGACCCAAGGAGCTCTCCGCTTTTTGGATCATTCCGCGTTCTTCCAATAACTTCTTCTCAACCTTATCATGAACTAAATCGACACTCAACCTGCGCTCCCTGTGATATTATTTCAAGAAATTAATTTTATAAATTACACTATTGTGTTACTTAATTTTCATGGGCATATAGCAAACAATCATATATAAATAGATAAATAATTGCTTATGGAGAATGTTAACAACCTGGCAGTGAGACATTTTTCACAAATCGTGAGAGCGTTTCTTTTCACGGACTTCAGTGTGTTCACAATTCGTTCTTTGTATGTTAAAAGAGCATCAATTTCTAGAACAATGTCTTTTCTGACCCGCAGCAATTCTCCCCTACGAAATTCGATGTCGTTAATTTTTTCCCTCAGTTGATGATCCGTCTTTTCCTTATTCGTTTTCACAATTTCCGTGGCCAAGTCACAGGCGCGCGTTGAATCAGCCAAGAGTCGATCTGATGATTCTTGTTGCGCCTCGGAACATCGATATCTAAGTCATTGTGATTATGAGTAATCATATGTATAATTTTATAATAAAGATTATTGATGATTTTTCTTGCAACAATGTTCACGTCGTGTTAATTAATTTGTTTACGTGATAATTAATTTTAAATGGGGAAAACTGTAGATGTGATCTTAACTAGACTTTGCGATAAGAGTATATGGAAGAATGATATGGAAGTATTTTTGCTATAAATATGCAAATACATACATATGGAATAATCTTTACAGAGATTATTAATTACGCTTGATTCTTAATCTAATCATTTATCTTACTCTATGATTTTTTACAATCGCATATAAGAACGTTACATAATTTTGTATGCATGACTTACTAGTACCTGAACTGATTGTTGTGATGCCACTCGTTTAACGTAAACCTCGGGATAAGAGATGGTATTACGACCGATACATGATTCGCGTCCATATCGGCTCTTGGCATACTGTGACACAATTTTGCTTGATTTTGTGTAAGGTGAAAGAATTGACCGCAGATTAGATGAAAGGAATATATTTTGCCGAGAAACGGTTTATGGAAATTATCTTTTTATCGTGCTAGTTTCCAAGGAAACGTTTCCCCTCTCCATGCTACTATATGCCGACTACATTAATATGATAATTCAACTTATTGCCACATAGTCGCATGTTTAAGTTTAAAGTTCAATTTGAAGTTTAATTGCTTTATATATATGTATGTGTGTGTGTGTGTGTAAAATAAAACAAGATAATAAAATAATTTAATATTTTAGATTTTCCTTTTTTTATAAATGTAAAGAAATAAAATATTTTATTTTACTTGGAAAATAAGACAATAAATGTTTTCTTCTGTCTCGTGCAAAATTATTGCAAAAAAATATTGCTTTGACTGCATTTGTATTTTGTCTGAAAAAACCAAAAAACATAAAATATGATAGATTGACAGCAAAAATGGAGCAGTTCTTAAGGTAGAATATTCTTTTATCATTAAAATGTAACAGACGTAAAAAGAGAATGGATCATGTCGTGATAACATATTGCTTTATCGTTGGCTTTACACTTGATACACGTGTTATGACATTCGACTTGAGCAGCAGGCACGATCTAGCGGTAGTGCTTAACATTCGGTAGTCAAGACGCAGTTTCTTTTTGAGTTGCTTTTCTTACGTACCACTTTCTGTTTACATTCTGACATTGTTAGATGCATACACGTGCATTCACTGTGTTCAACTGTTAAATAACAATTATAAAAGAAATAGGACAGGATATGTTTTTGAATTTTTGAGTTTAATTTTTATGCTTTAAAACGCATAAGATATGCGAGTTTAAAAAGAATCGATGTTGTGGAAACGCTTTTCAGTAAATTTATCTCATATCTCTAGTAAGTAACCTTTTCCTTTTCGTTATAAATAAAATTGCCGACTTGAATATTTTTTAAAAACAAAAGATAGAATTTTTTTCAATGTAAAAAATAAATACATGAAAATTTACAGATCGATTTTTGCATGTGTCTCTATTTTGCTGCACAGATGTCATGTCGCTTGATTTGAATAAGCTCAAGAAAAGAAAACCGACAGAAAACCAACAGCCTAAGAAAAAGATAGACAGATTCGATGGACTGTCAGAGGAAGAAGTGCAAAAGTATACATTGGAAGATTATTTGGAAATGAATCTAGACATAGTCTTTGTTGGAATCAATCCGAGTCTAATGGCAGCACATCGTGGCAGATATTATGCAGGTCCTGGCAATCACTTTTACAAACTTCTCCACGAATCTGGCCTAACATCAAGATTTGTCAGTTTTGAAGAAGACTACAAACTCTTGCAATACAGTATTGGCTTGACAAATATCGTAACACGTCCTACTAGATCTGCTGCAGATCTCAAGCGAACAGAAATCAAAGAGGGTGCAAGTGTAGTGGAAGAAAAACTGAAGTTATATAAACCCAAAGTTGCAGTGTTCAACGGTAAATGCATTTATGAGGTTTTTGCCAATATTACCTCTAGATCCTCTTTTCATTTTGGGTTGCAACCTGAACGTATCGATGATACTGCAATCTGGGTGGTACCATCAAGTAGTGCACGATGTGCTCATTTTCCCAGAATGGTAGACAAATTGCATTTTTATACGGGATTGAAGAAATATCTACAATTTCTAAAAGGTGAAATTAGCAATGTTGATGTAAAGGAATTCCAGTTTGAGGGAAAATGCAAACAATCTGTGGCTAGCACTTCTAAAATGTGGCGGCGAAAGAATATTTCCACTTTTCTGCACGGAGGTAGAGTTGCTAACAAGTATACACTTTGTCTAGATACATCAGAAGAAGATATTGCTGCTGTTCGTGTAGCAGAATTTTTAGTAGAAAAATCTACTCAGGATAATGAAAATGAGGATAAGGATGCATTTTTTAATGCAGAGTTATGCAGTCAAGAAAATCAGAATCAAGCTTTATTCAACAAAACTGTAGAAAAAACTAAGAGCAATACTAGAAAAATGAAAAAGTTTGTAACTGGTAATGTTAATAATGAAATGATTGCTAATAAGTCAGAAAATAAAGAAGCCTCTGACATTAATAGGAAAGAAAATTGCACTTCTCCAATTAATGATGCAATAAATCAAGAAACTAATGTAGCAAATGGCAAACGTAGTAAGAAATGTAAATCTTCAAAAATTACTCGCAGAACTGTAGAAACTCGAAATAATTTGAAAAATAATAGAAATAGCTCACTTGATTTTATGAGTTTAATCAAAGAAAGATTATCTCAGAAAAGTAACGATAATGATACTACCTCATAATTAAAATCTAGTTAAAAAATATTTAATGACATGATAAAGAATAGTGCACGTTCCAGTGATTTTACAAGTATTATTTTTAGCATATATATATTTATACAATTTTATACTTATTTTTGTAATTTAAAGTTTTGTTATGAGGATATTTACTATTTATTATAAAAATGAAGAATGTAATGACAAAATAAACATAAATCAATTTCACAATAAGACCTACTTTATTTGATTACAATTTTATAAGAAATTGATTTTATAGGAGATTTATGAGAACACATGATACTTGAATTATTACAGACTTAGTTTTATTTATTTCACATACTTTACAAGATTTATGTTAAACGTTTATTCATTGAATAACAAAAAACATTTGTACAAATGTTGGTAATTGAAAAATTTACATACAATTTTCATGATTTCATTGTTAGATGATAGAAATTTCATGATTCTACTTTCTACTTGAAAATATTTGTTTAAGGTATTGAAATTCATGTACGTACAAGTAATTCTTTTTTTATTATTCCTATTTAACATAAGTATCATTAAACATTATATTTACATATAAAACTAAATTATTTTAGTCACATATAAATAATTAATGAAATATAGATTGAACACTTGTGCATGTACACGTCATTCATACATGTCTCAGTATCTTATCGTCCAAATCCACCATCAGAAAGAGATGTTACTTTCTGTTGTATTATTTTACCATAACCACCTCGTCCACTGTCAAAATCTGATCGATATTCATCTCTCACCTAAAAGAATATAAAGTAATATTATATCATGCTCTAGGTTTTAAGCTAATTGTATGTAAGGTTTAAATTCAAATATAATTACTTGTCCTCCAGTTTTGCCACGACCATATTGTCTGCCTTCAATGAAGCCAGCATCCCAATCAGTTCTAATTATTCTGTCGTCTAAACGAGTACCATTGATATATCTCATACAATTCTCTGCATCACTTCTGAGATAATACTCAACGAAACAAAAACCACATGGTGTCTTCTTGTATTTATCAAGACCCATAATAATGCGTCTGATATCGCCACATTTTGAAAACAATTCATATATTTGTTCCTCAGTTGTGTAGAAAGACAGATTGCCCACGTACAATGTAGAAGAATTCCTTAGAAGTCTATCCTGCTCAGCTCTTGAGCCCTATACACAAAACAAAAGAATAAACCAATAATTTATATTATTAAAATTAAGTACATATTAGGCATGTACAACTAAGCCACATAATTCAAGAGTTAATTATAATAATGTTAAATTATAAAATATAAATATTGAAAATCTGCATCTAATCAAAAAGATATTTAAATTGTTTGGATATTTTTAGGTTAACTTTCATAACAAACCTTAAAATGTTGATCACGGTAAGAGCTTAATTCAACCGATGGTGAGGTATTTGCACTTACTTTGACTGACATTTTAATTATCAGTGCTAATTAGTTTATTTTCACACTTACTAAATACTATTCGTCAAACCTTCACACAATACATTCGAAAAACAAAATACAAACTAGATTGAAACAGTTGAAGTGTCTAAACTGAAGTGAGCTTGGAGTGCTTGGATACAGTATTACCAAGATAAAATATTTTATGTGTACCAACGGAATAAAAAGAAATCACTCGCTGCAATACTAGAGAATAACATGCAACTCATGTGACCAATCATCTTTTGGAAGTGAAAGAAACGGAAGATGATTAGTTATTGTATCGTATCCAATAAGAGATCAATCTTGAGATCCAACCGACGCCAATAACCACCATTCTTTCTTGGGACTCCGTTGCTCACGAGGTAAGTGCAATTTACAATATGTGATGTGTTGAATAAGTATATCTTGCAGAATATATATATAAAATTAAAACCTTATGCAATGCTTTATCTATTCGCAACTCACTATTAAACACTTTATGTTAGAATTTTTAATGTGGAAAAACCATTTAGTATAAGTTTGTACATTTTTAACCTAAAAGAACATGTGATCTGCATGCACTTTTATTAGCTGTATACTTACATCATTTCTGCAATATAGCATTTTATTAAAATTAATATATTGGATTGATCAAAAAAGTTATTTGGATTTTCGTCTTTTATTTTTATCAAAAAATTTGAAGGAACTTTCTGATCAACCCAATATTTGCTATTGATAAGAATTAAAATCAATAGATTGCATTCTATATAATATTGATATGCACACATATGTGTGTGTTTATGAATGTTAGAACTGGCATTAATAGTTTTTGTATTTTTCAGGACTTTTAACACGTTAGAAAATATCGCATATACCATCATCATGCAGCTGCAAATTCGTGGACAAGACACATTTGTCATCAATTGTGAAGATAATGAGAAAGTGCAACATATAAAGGTATTAATATTTTAAAAATAATTTTATCTTGCTATTAGATTAGATATCCAAACTTTTTTTAAATGATAATTTAAAAGCCTGTAGTGTTAAAATAATCTACCATTTACTTTATAATACTTTATAATACTATATACCTTGAAAACAATAATGCAAAAATGATATGTAAAATAGAGGAATTGAAATAGTTTTTTTATTTTTTGTTAAGTTTTCTACAAAATTAGTTCTATAATAAATTTCTATATTAAAATAATTTTGTCTAACTTCTTAATAATATATTTTAACTTTTGCAGGAAAAGATTGCGTGTCAACAAAACATTGAGGGAACTGAATTTACTCTTCATTGCTCTGGATCATTATTATCAGATGACACTTGTGTCGGGGAACTTCCATCAGATGTACTTGAGTTGACTGTACCTTTATTGGGAGGTTAGTTAATCATAAAAATATAATTATATTACATTATATTTATTTAAAAAAAATTCAATTTTATTAATATCTATTTATATAGTATATAATTATAAAGGTAGTTGTGTTAGTACAATAATATATGAAAAGTTTTTTATTAATAAATTTCTAGTATATGAAAAAAAATTAAGAAGACTACATTTTATAGAAAATTTTCTTTAATTATAAACAACAAATATTTAATCGGGAATTAACCATATTTGTTATTGTTTCTAGGAAAGGTTCATGGTTCCCTGGCACGTGCTGGTAAAGTGAAGGCTCAGACACCCAAGGTAAAATATTTGAAGCCTAATTATTTAATTAAATTTGTGCTTTAAATTAATTATTATTTACAGATAAAATAAATGTTATAAAATAAATGTTTAACCTAGAAGATTAGTTTTTTGTATTAATGTATATGTTGTTAGGTGGAAAAGCAAGAGAAGAGTAAAAAGAAGACTGGCCGTGCTAAGCGACGCATCCAATACAATCGTAGGTTCGTCAATGTTGTCCAAACCTTTGGACGCCGACGTGGACCGAATGCCAATACAAATACATAATTTAACAAAAGAAGAAATCTTTTAATATTACTATATTATTTGTTACAGCAAAGTCAAATAAAATGTCATAGATAAAAATATCTTAAACATATATTTTATAATGAAAAATAGTCTGTATTAGGTTATATTTTTTAAGTCATAATGCAATACTGCTAAAAAGCAGTCTGAATTGAGCGAAATCTATCATATAAAAAAAAAAATGGGAAATAGAATATAAAACAATTTTAATACAAGCATGTAATACAAGAAATTCAACAAGACATTTGAATCTTAGCCATACATAGAAAAATTGTATTCCATGATTTGATATCCAGTATCCCGAAACACGACGATATGAACGATGTTTTACACAAAATCCTAGAATTTACTATTGGAAACATATTCGGTAGAGATATAACTTGTAGAGAACCTGTACATCATTGTGACGATTATCAACCGGGCTCTTTGGTAGAATTAGGAAGAACTGGTATTAAGGTATGAATTAAATATGCTAAACAATTTTCACAAAAGATATTATTGTCAATTTTAACATGAAACTACATGTGGAGTATTTAAGTATTGAATTTTTTAATTTAGATAGCGTGTTTGAGAAAATTACAGTTTACATTTATAATTCACGTAATATCAATTATAAAATAATATTTAAAACTTATGTAAATAGAAATTTTATACAAAGAAATCTTTCTTTGTTTTTTTGCGCTGAAAATTTTTGCAGATGGCGATGCCAATTTTCGATTTGTATTATGTCAATGCATTAAGCATTTGTTTATATTCACACAATACTTTTGAAAATATTTAATGTTTTATAGAAGTATATATCATTTTTATAATAAGGCCGATATATTTCAAGTAAGCACAAAAATTCATTTTTTTTTAAATCTATTCCAAAATATTGCTGGAATTTTGTTTGGAGTAATTATGGCGAGTGGAGAGTATCTCTAGATATCGAGTTATCTTAGCTTTTATCTGTCAATATGGTTGGTTCTAGTATGGTTACGTCTTCTGCTAATATGTCTGTTCATAAAATTGTTTAATAATTTCATGAAAGTTTATGATTTTTTGTATAATTTGTTACTTAATGTATAACAAAGCATAATAACATCACAGAATCGATAATTTATGAAACAAACTTTCACGCTCGGAAAAATGGTGAATATGACTACAAACTTACATCATGTTTATTATAGTCATATTTTATATAATATGTTAAATATACCATTTATGTCAAGTTTTTCAAGAAAATTTTGATGCCGTGCGGGTTGTGTGCAGCAGCAGCAGCAGTACCTGCGGTAAAACCAGCAAATCTATCGCAAGATAGTATGCCAGCTCTTAGCACAGACTCAACGGTCAAAAATTTAATTCGACCATCTGAATTACCTATTTATTCCTTTGAAGATGATTACTCTAAACAGATTCCATGGTAAAGCACAAGTAATTCCAACTATAACTATCTTATTATATCTGCATAAGCAGGAAGTTAATTCACAAGAACCATTTAATTTTGTGATAAAGTGTATGATATAAAATGAGTATATATATATATAAAACTTATTTTATATAATTAGTGTATTATTGTATAATATATGTATAATTAATTTTGTATAACAGCAAAGACTGTCCACCCTCGGCTTTAGAACAAAATATATCAAAAATTCGCAAGTCTGTTCAAGCAATTGTGTCAGAGTATCAACATTATACTGGTGTTGTCTCCGATACCATTGACACTGGTTTCGAACACAGTAGAAGTAAGATACATATATGTAAAACATATTACATATAGTTTAATGTATTGATAATAACATAATTATTTTTTGCAGCTCTTGTAGATTATCTTCGTGAGGAAAGTAATGTCATGCCACGAATGGGTGCTATCGCTATTGGTGGATTGGCTGGATTAGTACTTGGACTGAGAGGACGCACATTCAAGCGAGTAGTATATACTACTACTGGTGCTGCTACTGTGGGAGCTCTCTGCTATCCTAAAAAGGCAGAAGAAGGAATTGATGTAGCGAAACATTATATAAAAGTCGGCTATAACTTTATTTATGGCGGTAATGAATCTATTTTATTATCTTTAGTATATTAATTTTGAATAAATAGATATAGACATATATAAAAATTAGCAGCTAAGAAGAAAGCTAAAGAATGTTGACATGCATGTGTTATTATGTGTATAAAATAATAGATATAACATATTGTAATCTTCAATGGTTTGAAAGTGATTCATAGGCATATTGATGGTTCATACTTTATTATAAATAATTTCAGTCAAACCCGGTGACAATCGACAGCTGGAAATCGCATTGCCGGAATTACCAAAACTAAAAACTCCAACATCTTTTTCGGAATTTTTAGACTTAACGATTGATACAGGTTCGGCAGTGGCTACCGCTGTTGGTAGTTTTGCCCAGAACGCGTATACATCTTTAAGTGGTAGCAAGGAGGTAGGATGCAACGAAGAAATTCCTGCATTGCATCGTCCCTCTCTTACACTTGATTTAACTTTTATTTAGTTCTAAAAATGCATTGGAGAAATGTGTCATTAGAATTTTCCACTTTCATTAACTAATTAAAATGCTATGCAATTCTAAAGTTTTGTTTATAGCAAATATCTAAGTTGATTAACACACTTGTAGATGATTCGATAAGATCAAACTGCAATTTTAGATTTGAGAATGAGACATTATCTGTATACTGTAAATTTGTCAAAATTTAATATATTGCAGCGTTGTCGAAGTTCGTGACAATCTTTTCTGATGGAAAGCTGTGAAATTATTTGAAGAATTTTATTGTTTTCAAGTTGTGTGTGTTATTTAAAGCAGCCGTAGAGTTTTTCAGTTTTGTTACATCGTCAACGCTGATATATAATATTGTCGCGAGTATCTTTATTAATAATGTAAAATATTTCTAAAATAATTATTCTTAAGATTTGTGAAATTTGCAACATTTTATCATAATTATATAGACAATATTGTCGCGAGTATCTTTCTTAAAAAATGCATTCTATACATTAGCCCATGCAAATGATGATGAAGACAAAATGAAAGATGCCCGTTCTGTAACATTTCATTACAATGCCGAAAAACCCTCAGAGTCGATAATTGAAATACCATCCGCGCCTTCAGCAGATGAAAATACAGATGCTCAAAGAAGTTGATTTAGATGCAAACAAACTTAGGTGTCTGTCTCAATTCTTTCCCACTTTATACTTTTGGTTGAGAGTTTTACTTCCTTGCTTGTGTGCTAATTTTGTTTGTACTATGTTAATTTGCATTTTATGATATTTATAACGATATACTTATTTTCCATCGTTTATATGTTTCAGGAAAACCAATCGACAGCAAAATCAACAGACGCTAAAAAAGATTAAGCGCTTTACAATAATAGCGCAATGTAGCAAAAGAATGTAATATAAACATTTTATTATAGAGCAAAGGGAGGAAATTGTTTACATAATAAATTATACGCAATAAATTATCTTAATTTGAGACGCTGTGTTTAATCCTTACGTGCTTATGTTCAGTATGTTGGAGAGAAGTAAAATTTGGTAATATATTTCGTGTTTCTTATTGAATATAAATACATGAACGTCACTTCTTAAATATATAATATATAAAAAAACATTGTAAAACTTTTGATTAATTCTTTTATTTATTTGTATAGAGTACATGTATAAATTTCTCTGGTAGAGGGATTAAAAAAAATTCAAGCTTTCAACAGGACACACGTTCCTCGCGGCATCGAGACGACATTGCACTTCGGCGTGGCGCGCAGCCGCGTCTCATTTATCGACTGCCGTTCCCGCCATCGCACATCGACGGGATTTCGATCTTCACCCTGGCGCGAGGACAAGCGACAGTCGAAACCTGCGCACTTGCAACCCCAGCACGAACCGTCAAACTAACGCGTGCCCTTAAAAAACACAAACCGCTGCGTAGTCATGAAAGATGCGCGCGCGCGCGCGCCTTTACCCCCTACTATCTTGACTCGATCTTCGCACGAGTCAGCACGCGAGCCGTCGAAAGATGCGAGTATGTCATAAATGCGACCGATCTTTCCGCGCCGAGTTTATCATCCGAGATAGGGAAGTCGATAATTAGCCCGCGTCGCCTCTTCTCGATGAGATATGAACTTGAACGCTCGGAGAACGTTTCACGTTCGCTCAGACAGGCCAAAGGATTCTGCGATCGGTCTCGAGTGCAAGTATGGGGATCGTTTGTTATTCTGCGAGGAGAGAGTTTCGCGCAGTGACGCGTAGTGAAGGGGTTGCTCGCGCGACACTTGTACTCTCGAGCCGGATGCTGTAAACTCGATATACTCTCATTGATCGCTGTCACTCTTCCCTGAGAATATTTTGACGCAGAAGCATATTGTGTGAATTTTTTACAGTGTTTATGGATACAATGAGGGACGTGTCAATAAGTTTCGTGCTAGACAGCGCGTGAATTTTGCATGATTTGAGAGCGGAACGACGGGTCAAGGTGTTATAATTGAGGTAAGTCTTCAAGGTGCGCACGAAGAGGCGTATCGATCTCAAATTATCTTTGTTTTCTTGATAATTTATAACAAAGTATATTGCAGATGTACGTAAATTGTTTTTAACTTATTTTTACTTTTTCACATTTCTGTCTAGCGTGTTATTCAAGATTGACACATGATTGACGTTTCCTATCGCTGTCTACTCTTTTTTTCTGCCCGTCAAGCACTTCTGTTACGCGATGGACAATTTTAAGCTACCTGAGATTACTTACACGGTAAAATACTATTTCATGTATCAGTGAACAATATTGATTCAAAAAAAATTGAAGTCAATTTAAAAATTTTATTAGTAGAAATTAATTTATTAAATTTATATACAACATATTCCACATTATAATTATATAGATAATTGGTCATTGGATCGATGTTGCGGAAACTTTACTCACGCGAGAAAAATTGCGCAAGAATATATTAAGATATGTCGAGAATTACTTACGGTATCGTGTGTTTCAAGAAACGATATATTGTGCCGGATACTGTACAACAGGACCAAAATTGATATATTATTAATATAAGGAATATATTAATTATAATATTGAATTGATCAAAAAGTTTCGGATTTTCCTTTCATTTTTATCGAAAAACTCGAATCTTTTGATTATCCCAATATTTATTGAAAAATAATTTAATAAGAAAAACTTAATTGATTACGACTTATACATAATTATATGTTTAATCTGTTTGCGTTTATTGCAACACTATATTTAATTGTGCAGGAGCGTTGTATCTCGTAGAGTGGATATGGTAACTATGAACTCCGAAAAATCGGCTTGCCGCCGAAAACCAGCGGAAAAAAATAGCAGCAGCAGTAGCAAAAAGGCATCCGAGCCTACCGAAGAAGCGGATAAAAAGAACGAGGATAATCGTACGAGCGAGTCTCCCGATTTATCGCCCAACACTCCCACGTACAACGTCACTGCCTCCTGCGCCGAAGACACTCCTAATTACCTTGTCTATAAAAAGGTAATATTGCAAATAAAAAAACTATAAATAATGAAGTGTGTGCAACATACACCAGAAAACAAATTCAAGAGATTTAACATTGGCATGCAAAAAGGATTTGGAGAAATTTCTCTTCAATACTATTACTTTTAATTTTTAGATATTTGTGTTATTTAAAATAATTGTACTCTATTTTTTTTTTAGATGGAATCGATCGTGGAAAAGATGTTGGACGAATTTACTGGTGTTCCTGTAAAAACAGTCAAGACTTTCATGACGAAGACGCCGTCTGTTTTTACAGGTACAGAAACAGCTTTTCTTTTAACACAAAAAAAAAATATTTTTATATATATGTTAATTTTTTAAATAATATTTAACTTCTATGTCGCATAATAAAATCTCAATTAAAAATTCACGATTAATAATTATATTCGATTTATTTTTTCAGGCACAGATCTTATAGCATGGATGATGAAAAGCATGGACATAGATGATCAAGGTAAGACTAATTTTTGATGTACAATATATTAATTCTTATTGTAAAAACCTATTTATTTAATAATCTATTAATTAATATGATAAATAATATAACATGTATATTGATTTTTCAGAGGCTCTTCATGTGGCTCATCTTATGGCATCCCATGGATATTTTTTTCCTATCGACGACCACTGCCTTACCGTAAAAAATGACAACACATTCTACAGGTTTCAAACGCCCTACTTTTGGCCATCAAACTGTTGGGAACCTGAGAACACCGATTATGGTACAAAAAAAATATTAATATTGCCATTTGTGTAATTTGTATAAATTGCAAATGTAAAAATTGTTCTTAAATTACTTCTTGTTAGTTTTATTTAAACAGAATTGATTAAAAAAGACTTTAACTTATTAACTTTTTATAAAGAATGATTTATATTTTTATATTTATTACTTTGATAGCTGTATTACGATACATCCGTTGGTGCGTACTACATTAAATGTTACAGCTGTCTATTTATGCAAAAGGACGATGCAGAACAAAACGCGATTGGAATTGGCGGACTACGAGGCGGAGAACTTGGCTAGATTGCAAAAGATGTTTTCGCGAAAATGGGAATTTATTTTTATGCAGGCGGAAGCGCAAAGCAAAGTAGACAAGAAAAGAGATAAATTGGAAAGAAAAGTTTTGGATAGTCAGGAGAGAGCCTTCTGGGATGTACATCGGCCAATGGTAACTTTTTATATTAGAATACACAAGAGACTAATACTCTTGCATTTATTTTTTTTTTACTAAATGCCGAGACACAATTCTTGAATAACAAATAATCAAAAATTTTTATTAAAAAAAAATAAAAATCTGCTGCAATAAATCCTTAAATTTAGTGTGGATTTTTTATTATTATGTATACATTAAATTTCAGCCCGGATGCGTGAATACTACGGAATTGGACATTAAGAAGGCTTGCCGCAGCTACAAGTCTGTACAACCAAGTAAGCATTTGCATCTGGGGGTCGCGGGTGGCAGAATATCGCCATCTATGGAATCGAATGCGACCTCATCGATAGAATTTTTGCAGAAAGAGATCGAGACCCTGAAAGAAAGATTGGATAAGCCCGTCATCAAAGTCTCGAAAGTAGCCGAAGCGTATGTCAATAGAATTCTGTTTTAACGAAGCGAAGCAAAGAATGTATCTCGGCACTTTTCTATTAACGTTTATTAAAGTTATTTGAGATTTAACTCTATTGTGCCCGTCAAAGAACGAGAGTAAAAGTGCCCGTTTCAATTTAACTGTGTTCAATATAATATATTTATTTAGACTATTAAATGTGTATAAGCTAATCAATATGCTATATTTTCAGATTGATTGGATACTTCGAGCAGTATATGGAATACGATCCCTTTTTCACCCAACCCGAGCTTACAAATCCATGGATAACCGACAACCCGGAAATGTGGGAGCAGGAAAAATTAGCGTATGTATATTATAGCGACACTGAGACAAAAATTTACACGATATTCAGCAAATTTCAACAAAACGGTGCTATGTGTATTTTACGGATATTTGATGTGTAGGAAAGAAATATCCGTAAGAAGAGTCAAGAGGTGGGCATTTAGTCTTCAAGAACTCTTGCAGGATCCTGTTGGTAGAGAGCAATTTATACGCTTTTTAGATAAGGAATTTAGCGGCGAAAATCTCAAGTATGTATAATAAATTTCACAAATCTTATTGTTATATTATTCTATTTTACACGCGTGTTTATCTATGCATATATTGGATATTTGATCTTATTTTTTAATAAAACAAAGAATTTGTCTCATTTTTACCGCTTGGCGGCATTGTGTCACTGGGACAAACTTTTGCCCTACGAGTTGATTTTGCATGTGCAGATTTTGGGAAACCGTTCAGGAATTGAAAACTTTACCACAGAAAGACGTCCAGATAAAAGTCGACGAGATATGGCATGAATTTTTGGACACGGACGCCAGTTGTCCTATCAATGTCGATTCTCGATCTTACGAGATAACCAAAAAGAATCTAGAAAATTCGGATCGATGGTGCTTCGACGTTGCTGCAGTATGAATTTAATTTATTTTTCAACACATTAAAAAAAGTTAAAATTTTATAAAAAGTATCAAATTTATCTAATTTTTTATCATAAAGATGAGATGCAGAACTATTCGGATCAAGTTGTTTAAAATAGTTGTCTTGAGCATTTTTTTTTCTCAATATTACACGATTAAGTTTTATTAGTTTTTCGCAAATTAATTATTAAAAATATAATTTTATACATAATTCTAACTATATTATTATTTTCTAGGCGCATGTATATCATCTGATGAAGAGTGACAGTTATTCAAGATATTTACGTTCAGAAATGTATAAGGACTTTCTTAATGGTTCCAAAAAGAAGGTGAGTATGTGATACATATTTACTTCATATTGTATAATTTAAAATCTATTGTTAAAATCTATTGTTAGTGATAATATAAATGTTTCCTATACTGCATAAATTTTTACTATATAGTTGATCAGTTAAAAAAGTTTATAATAAATATTTTTGCTTTTATTGCTATGTTTATTAATATTATAATTACGAAATAATTGTAATTTGTTAGAGTAAAAAGTTACAAACTTTAAAAAGTAATTTTTTTAGAATAATTATCATAATTAATTATATTAATAAGAACGATTTTGTTTTTAGACTTCTGTAAAAGGCATTCGTTCTATCGTCTCTTTTACTTCAGTTCGAAGGGACACAACAACTTCGTAACCTGCCAGTTTCTAGCATCTATGATAATTTTAAGTCTCTACTTGCTACCTTTTCTGTTTTTTGTCTCCGTCAAAAAGTGCACAAAACTAGGAAGGAAATTTTCAAAAGAATGTTTTTTATTTGGACTTTATCTTACGGTAACTTTATCTGATTCACTTAACAAAATATTTTATATAAATAATTATATAAAAATTAGAATTACTTAAAAAGTTATCCAAGGATAACGTACGCTTTTCGAATACTTTAGAGTAAAGGATTTATTATAGATCAATTTTTCTTATATCTACAATATTTCGCATTTGTTATTTATAAATTTTACACAATTACGATTTCATCACCAATTTTAAATCATAGATTTTTTTAAAAGACAATTGATTCGTGAAGGATAGCTATTTAAATTTTTAACATTGAAGATCTAAGAACTATAAAAAGATAGCATGCAATCAAATTCTTGCTAAGAGAAACTTATTTCAAGAATATTGCCGTTAGGGATTGAATCTTTTATTGTATACATGTACACTGTTATTTTATTACGAAATGCATTCTACATTGCAGCATATTTTTGGGCAATCTAACAAATATAAATAATGCATGTAAATAACGCATTTTCTTAACTCGTGAAATGTATCGGATATATGAAATTAATTAGCAAACACTGAGAAAATAGAAATGTTAGAATAATGCAAATTCTATAACGCAAATGTTAATTGTATAATCGGGATAGATCAAAGATCATGTATTTTCAACAATTGAAGCAGGAGAATTGAGCAAAAGACATACGCACACATACATGTACAGAAATATATTTTGCATATAGCTTTACGCAAATAATCTCAGCATTGCCCAAATTTCGAACGAGATTATTTATAAAAAGAGATATCTCTTTGTCCTCATTCTTGCTTTTCTTCAAGTTACATCGTTATATTCACATTCAACACACAAAACTTCTGTCAAAGACATCCTCGAATTAAGTGGATTACAATAAAACCAAACTAGAAAAAGGTAATTATTACTTGTCTTATTTAAAATATTTCTCCCATTACAATGACATTTCCTATTTGGTCCCAGAAATAATTAAAGAATTTTTTTTTCAGTTATGTCCTTATTTCAGTTTAAATTACGCAAATAAAAAGGATCGATAGAGCTTTTATAATATACACGCTAATTGAGATACACAATTCGGATATTCGGAAAGTAAAGTGGAACTGAGAAAAAGAAAATACTGGAAAAAATTTATTGCTGCCAAATTGTAGCTATATTTTGTGTCTCCATACATACTGAAGTTTTCAGTTTATCGCCCTTTCGGGAACGCTGCGACGGGAATTGCAATTGGAAAAAATTTTAAACTCCTATTATATAGAAAGATTTACATTTCATATTATATTTAAGACTTCTATCAAAAGTTTAATTAATGGAATTCTCGCTACAGATGAAGTCTTGATAAAAGAGGTAATTTCAGTCTATTATCAATCTATTAAAGTATTAAACTATATATATATATATGATTACATTATAGTCCACAAGATCTATAACAATATAATTATGGTTATATTATATCGTTATTTTCGGACTATTCAACTATCATTATTATTTAGTAATAATTGGATATTTATTGCCATTACGTGATTTATAGCTAACGGATGTCTAACTGAGTGTTAACGCGGTTTGAACCACTAGAAACTTTCCTGATCACTTTGGCACAAAGTCGTTTAACGGAACTCTTATAACACGTATGGTATGCCCTTGTCTACGTTAACTCCTAAAATTTTTCGTATCGTTATATATAAGATTTATTATAGATACCTCTCGATGATATGATTTTGTTACTGGCAGTATTAATTATTTTCAACAATAAACTTATGTTAAGACTATGAACCAAGCAATATTGCTTGATATAATTGCTTTATATTGCACAAAAGGCTCGTAGAAACCAATAGATACTCAGTACCATGTATAGATGTACTCAGACACATGTACCTTAAAAATGTGAATTTTTAGAGTGCATATTCTTCAGTATTAGGTAAAAAATTGATAAAAATTACTGAAAACGTTACATAACAGCACCTTATATTGGAATATGCAATCTTTGTTCATTTTCTCAACAAAAATTTCTATAAAATGTATATTTTTTTAGAATAGTAAAATTCATTAGCGACACATGTATCTGTTCTACTAATGAATGATATTTAGAAATGTTTGACCATTCCTTTTATTAAGCATCACACATTTCTAATAAAATACAAAATTATCGGTTCTATTTTTAGCGACAGCTATTCAGTTTATACAAGCCTTCCTTACATGACAGTTCATGTAACAATCTTACGTAATAATGGCGTAAATCGAGCAACACTCGTGATAAATATCTGCTGTGCAGATAACTATATACACGGAAGTTCTGCGCGACTAAAGAAGTTCGGCATTATTAGAATTTTGCGAGTTTTCCTAGAGTACAAAAAATATAGATGTATAAAATTTGCGAGAGTCTAGAACACGACTCGAATGTTCATTGTCTTACAATCTAAGTACGTTAAGAACGCTTGAGAGTCCATTTTGTAAAAGTCCCAGAAGACTAGTGCAAGGCACTCATTTAAATCGGTTTATCGAGATCTTCCTCGACGCATCCTTCGATTTAATTTTATATCGCTTCTACGTCCTTTTTATTTTTTCTGTTGATAATCGGCACTGCACCCCAAAGCGCGGTGCCGAGGATTAGGATGATTCCGAAGGCGAGGAAGATCGGTTTGTACGAGAGCACGTTCTCGAAGATGACGCCGCAAACGGGCGGGCCGACGAGCTGCAGGACGCCATTGACGAACAACGATATTCCGTAGGACGAGCTGAGCTTCTCGGTGCCTAGCATATCCGCCAGGATGACCGTCGTGATGCCGATGTACATGCCGGACGACAGGCCGAAGAGACCGCAGAAGAACGACAGCATGGTATAGCTGGTCGCCATAGGCAGCAACGCCAGGGCGATTCCGCTGGTGCCGAGGCCGACCACGAAGTAATAATACTTTGGCATGAAATCGATGTCGGACAAGGACGCGCCGCTGATCCTGCCGACCAGATCCAACGCGGAGACGATGGACAGCAGCAGAGCGGACGAGTGCTTGTCGAAGCCCTCGGCAATCGCATAGGACGGCAACAGTATCATGAAATTCGTGTTGCTGATGGCCGACGTGGAATTGGAGATCAGGATCACCAGGTAAATAGGATCCCTCAGCACACTCAGATCGAAGAAGCATGCCTTCTCGGCGTTCTCGAGCTTCGACGCCTTCGCCGACGACCTGGAGAGCGCGTCGTCCCGCTTAGGCTCCTCGACGTACCTTCTGTTACTCTCGTCCTTCGGATTCTCCGCGATCTTCGAAAAATCGCACTTATTCTCGTTGGAAGCAACGCTGCCGCGGCGCGATAAATTCCGCGCACCGCTGTCCGAACCGTCGTCGTCTTCTTTTGCGAGACTTGAACGGGCCGTCATACAGATCTCGTTCACATTTGGACTGCACTCCCGCGAGACATCCTCTTCCGCCTGTGAAATCGGATCTTCCTTGATCACGTTAGGACGCAATCTTAGAATCGTGTTAGCTTTTTCATCATTCTTCTCATAGCTCAGTTTCCTTTCAGATTCGTAGCACACTTTTTCGTTGGTTGATTCCAGCACCACGTTGTGCAAAAGTTCCGAGAGCTTGCGCACTTGTTTGTCATCGTCGCCCGGAGCAGCTGGAAGACTCGAGCCAATTTTGAAATTGCTTTCTGGTTTTTCAGCCGACTCCCCTTTGCCGGCCTCCGTAGACTCATCGAGAGTCAATGCTTCATTGTCGATACCTTCATCTAGAGGCACGATCTTCATGTGCTCCTCGACCGGATGGTACAGAAAACCGCAGACTAGTGTGTTCAGCGTGATCGCGCCCATGATGAGCACCGCTCCTCTGGAATATGATAGCAAAACCTGATTTAAGTAAGGTATGCACATCCAGCTTTATTTTCAAAAAGTAAAAAATAGTTTGGGTAAAGCTTCAATTTATTTTTAGACTCAGATGTGATTTTATTAAAATTTATTATATATTTATTCGATGGCATATCGAATAAATAAAGCATTGTGACCTTTTCAAGAGAGTTTGTTGTATAATCATTTTAAAAATGTTGAAAATTTTTAAAAAGATTTACAAAATTGCATACATTAGAATTGTAATTCTTTTTTGAGACACACTACTGATAAAATATTGTTGAAAATTAATGGAATGTAGTTAATGTTTAGAGATGCTTTGTTGTCTTGTTGGCTTTTTGAAAAACCGCATATGCGATTAGAAGCGCTCTGGAACGGTTCGAAAAGACAGTTGCAATTTAATTGTTATTTATTGTTTATTATTATTACTTTGGGATATAAAAATGGCCAGATGTAATATCTTTAATATGATAGCATATTTTTAGAATTTTATTTTGCATTTTGATCAGGCTAGATTTTTCGTAGCAAATGAAAAATCCTGATATGTTACCTGCAGTATTCACGTATATATTATGTAATGTGCCTTTCGTATAAGATTGATAATTAGTATTTTATCATATAACTGATTTATAATTTTATTTCTTTATAATGAATCAATAATCTATCACTGTCAGAACATCCATAATTTAAAAGCAAAAGGAATAAATCCAAGACATAACATATTAGCATATTTATACTCATGATAAATGTTATATCCTGTTTATTATAGCATGCATTTTTTTAGTTCATATTACTGAACGCACAGAAAATTGCAGAAATAAAAATTTCCGAATGGATGACGAGGTTCCATCGTGAGAGACGTCTACAAGACCTTTCCTGCAACGAAGATTTCGGCGAAGATTTGCGAAAGGTTTTGTGTCTTGTGGCTTCCCAAGCCGCTTCGCAGTGTGTTCTCGAACCGCTTCAGAGAACTTCTATTTTCCGCCTCTCGAAAGCAGTTGGAACTATATAAAGTCTTTTGCGCTCCGGCAGAATAGATATCTGGTGCTTGTTCTTGTTCGAACCGGAGAAGAACATCTGAATAATTCATATTTATTGTCCCTCTGTGTCTTTTCAAATAGCGATTGTCAGATGGATAATTTTTTAATGAATTACCTGTATCCGAAGCAGTCCAACAGATATTGCAGTAATGGCGGTAGCACTATAGTGCCGATTGCACTGCCAGAAATGCATAAACCGGTTGCTAACCCCCGTAATTTTTCGAAGTACTGCGTAACAATGTAAACCGTCGGTGGAAATGACAATCCAGCGCCGATCCCGACCATTAGTCCGTAACTACGCATAGAAAAGTCAACTTTTATTTTTACAAAATTTTAATTCTTAAAATTAAAATTTTAATTTTAAAAAATAAAATTAGAATTTTAATTTAATTTGTAAAATTAAAATTTAAAAACAAAAAAATAATAGAAAAAAATTCTTTTTCTGTTATTTTTTTATTCTTGAAGAATTATACGTCATATTATACGTATAAGAAACGTATAGAACTAAAATTTAAAATCTTTATATTCTCTCATAAGAAAGTCATATGCAGCACTTTAATGTACATTATGTGTACATTAAGTATTAGATAATTAAATATACTATCCGTCTGTTTCTCTCTTTACAAGAATTGTGTAATATACTTAAATCTGTGCAAGAGTCTTAAATCTGTGAGATCTTTAATCTTCGTTACACAACGTTTTCGGTAACATTTCCTCGCAATGATTAAAGCCGGAGTTGTTAAACACTATGTTTGTCTATCACTTATGACTATCTCAAACGTCAATCCTACCTGACGTAAAGATAAGTAACCGAATTGGCGAAATAGCTTAGCATCATCCCGCTGGCCGCAAAGGTACCGCCGATGAGGGTCACTGTCCTATAAGAGTACTTGGTCGACAGGATACTTGATAAAGGACCTGCGAAACATTTCACATTACATTTTTATGAAAAATACGCATTCTGTCATATTTTTTGCATTCAATATTTCTTTCACATTCAATATACTGAAGTTTATATAACGTTTAGAAGATGAGAGAAATTTTGTTGGCAAAGTTTTTTGCAAAAATAGAAATTTATTAGAAATGATTTAATTTACAATATTAATAATATATAAGTTCGAATTAAAAATCTAAATGTGTGGAGCATTCGATTCAGCGGTTTAAATTATTTTGCAGAGCTGCTTACCTAACGAGCTGTACAGAAAATAGCACAACGCCGGCATCCAGGAGGCCGCTGTGGAGGACGCCTTGAAAACGTGCAGAAACTCGACGAAGAGCACGCCGAAGGATTTAACGGTGCCCGGGATGAGGAAGTTAACAATAAGGGCGGAGAAGAGGACCACCCAGCCCCATCCGCCGTCCGGCGGGACCATTTTCGTCTTCCTCGCCTTCTTCGTCGGCATGTTTTCTACTGCGGCGCAACGAGGCCGTGCACAAGTCCCGCGCGATTCTTGGCTGTAAACATTCAAAGGAAACGTTGTTACGCGTAGATTATAATAGACATTTTCTGCCGTCGTCGCGAAGGTAAGAGAAAGATCATTATCGGGTATTAAAGGATAGATCAGCCTCAGCTCGTGTCCTTGGCGCGATTATACTCTTTCATAACAGCGTGATAGAAAAATCGACAACGATGAAATCTTTATTCACATTTTATAGGACTACGGATTATCTTATTACTTTACAAGTGAAATATGCTTTTTTATTTATTTTTTTTATCATTATAAAATTAAACGATGTTTATCATAAAATCTATTTTGCGTGACAGCGCAAACGAGCGACAAATAACGCATTTCCTCTTCGCGATTGTCCGCTATTAACCGTACACTTTCGCAGAAGAATTTTCTTTTCACACTCGACCGCATGCGACAGCATTGCGCGTTCACCTGCGCACACACGGAATACGTACAATTTTCATTGGAACACGCGTTCATTGGAACCGTAAACGTAAACGTGTTTCGGTTACCATTCACGATCGCGTACGTGAACGCCAGAGAGAAAAACTCTTGCTTGCATCTACGTGCGACGAGTTCTAAATATTGCCCGCGATTTGTTTCTAATTATAAACGCCGGGAATATATCTGAAAGATTAAAAATGGAAGTGCGTCGCGATTTAGAGAATAGAGATATACATATATCTTTTTCTAGTTGCTCTCTGCCAAGATGGATGACAAGATGAAACACTTTCATTTTCGAATACGATCTATTGCGATCGCATGTGAAAGAGAGAACTGATAGACCAAAAGAAATGTATGAACGAGCTTGCTTTGTACAAACAGATAAACACATCGGAAACCTACATATTTAATGTACAAAAATGATACATGATGAAAGTCGTTGAACAGGATTCTTACGATTGTCGTTTTATCCTTCCACAAATTAGTAGAAAGCACACATGGGAAGCCACGAGGACGTGGATTTAACTTGAGATTTGAAATACATTAAAAGAAGATTCTTGTAAAAATTATTACAATCCGTGAAACTTTATGAAAATGTTTTATACTCATTGTTCTGCCCGTTTTAGAACCATAGATTTTAATGATCAACTCTGACTCTTATGTTAGCGTCTTCCTTGAAAGCGGTCTTTAAAGCGTTTAACGTACCGGTACGAATGCGAAAATAACAAATAGCAAAAATAAAACATTTAGCGGCACTCATACTGATGTCTCGTCCCGATTTGTATCTTTGTGATATTAATTAGCATCTTGATGACGGACACGTCATGTTCCGCCACACATGTCGTTCCCAACCAACTCGTTCTTGATGGATATACCGCGTGCTACACACGCGTGATCCGGCTCGCGCGTGGCGCGCAGCTATTAATTTAGAATTGTGACTATTACGTGGCTTTTAGATTTCAACCTTTCGTCACGTTTCGTATCTACCCGATCATTTAGCTAAAAATGATTAAAAACGTCTAGGTTTGATATTTGATAAAGATTTAACAGAAAAAAGTAAAAGCAAAAAGAACTATGTAACAGATATTTTATGTGGCAGAGAAATTTTTGCAAACGACGACAATGTAATAAAATGAAACTTAGCGAGAGTTTAGTGAAAGCTTAACAAAACAATGAAAAATATTTTTATTTCTTTTTACAAATCAAAGATTCTCTTAAGGAGTTATTTAAAACGTTCATAATTTTGTAAGCTTTATTTTACAAGAATTGAATTTTTCAATAAGTAATTTCAATTAATTAATTCTTTGATTGTCTTTAATTTTTAGTGCGGAGCAAGGCTCGCTAACTTGCGTCTCGAGGGTCATTTGCGTTTGCATATCTGCGACTTTATGGCGAGGCAAACGTCGCGCCGGTGGTAAACGGCGCAACGGTGAGAAAAGTCCCG